AAATAGAAATCGTGGTCACTTCTGTGTACAAGCATGCACAGGTTGTTAACAAAACTTTTCCTGGGTCAAGTCCAGGCATTCAAATCTTATATACAAGTGTGTTTTGGGTCAAAATTCCATGGCAATACTCTTTCAGAATTTTACTGGCAAAATCAAAAGTTACCATTTGTCTTAACATTAATTGCAGTAACTCTATAATTCATTGTTTGATTAAGTTTTAAGGTTCTAATCATATTTCAAATTACCATCAGTCAATTTTCTTACTTTGCTTCTATGCATTAAGTCATATTTGGAAAATTAACCCCCATTTCTACAACTAGATGTTCAGATGATGATTAGGGTGCAATGAACATTAATCAATAGTTTATAATATTTATAATACCAATTTCATGCAATTGCTAAATAAAAGTTGGGCACGATGGAATATAGCACCAACCATCAAACATATATACAAATACATTCTACTTACTTTCTATTTGTGTATGTACATCGTTGACTAGAATTTGTAATTGAGCTAAATTCATTTCTTGTAATAATTTTCTATTGAATTTCTTTCTTCTACCATCTCCTAAACTTGGTATACCAACCTTGAATATGATATAAAAAAACAGTCGAATTACAACATCATTATCAAATAACGCGTATACACAGGAGCAACAATTGTGAGACAGAGAAACCTTAAGTAGAGCAATATGGCAGTTTCTTTGAGTTTGGCTGAATTATCAAAATATCATTATTATCAAGAATGCGTCATACATGACGCATGTGTATCCTTTCTTTTTTTGTAGAAATTTAAAGAATCTAATTTCCAAGGCAGATAATTTTGGGAAAAGGGCGTCTTAATATACACTTTTGAAGAATTCAAGAGACTAGGAACTATGATTCTAGATCAACATAATGTTGTTTTAAACAGCAAGTTAAAATACTAGATACAGATCTAGACTTTCAGACAAATTCATTGATTTATTTTATTTTATATCTCAATCATGAACTAACTTAATTCAACTCTATTCATATCAGCATGGTATCTTATAAAGCTAGTTTTTAAATACCACATGCCATTTCATATTGGACCGGTATTTGATAATATTGACTGATATTTCTGTGTGAATGAAATTGATTTTAAATAGAGATTATGATTAAACCATGTAGCTCTTACAGCAATAATGGACCTATTCAAATTTGGATTTTGTATATAATTCTAAAGACGAAAGTAAAAATTTCACTTAGTAAACTTCACCTAAATGTTTGTAAATAAGAGATTAAACATGAAAAACATTTTAAGGGGAAAGAACATTCAATTCTAAATTTCTACAGTTATATTGTTATCAACTTTCAAAAGTTGGTCTACTGATGAAAAGAATTATCATTTAAGTATTTATATTGGAGATGATGTAAGATTTTGTCTTCAAATTAGTCGCTTCATACAATCGCTTTGTAGAATCAAAATGCTTATTTCTAATTTTGGCAATTTCCGTAGATATTAATGTTTCTGTTGGAACCATTATTCTTCTTATATTTTTGAAGAATATGGATTTTCATTTCTTATATTCAAATTATATTATATTATTCAACCTAACTGCACAAACAATACTCTCTCACTAGAGGTTAAGCCTGCATTCCTGTGCCTGTGCTTTTGTAACTATTAGCTGTCCTGATGATGATTGTGTAGTCAATTATACAATATAAGCAAACTCCTTTTTAACTTTTTTGTTCTTAGAAGTTCGAAGAAATAATAGAGAAGCCCCTCTCATGGAATAAAGGATAATGAAAATGTCCTTTTTAATGGATAATGAAAATGTCCTTTTTAATGGAATAATGAAAATGTCCTTTTTAATGGAATAATGAAAATGTCCTTTTTAATGGAATAATGAAATTGCCCTTTTATGGAATAATGAAAATGTCCTTTTAAAGAAAAATGATAATTATCCTTAAATTCCTCACATGTGGAGAAGGAGCCTTTTTTTGGGCAGAGCATTAATTGGTTGAATATTTTGGTGATTTAGAACTTGTGATGTCCAACAATTACCTTAGATCATAGATGGCATGGTGAAACATCATTTAGATCAGTTAGATGACAGCAAATATAAGTTTAGACTTCATTTGTCTGTTACTAGCTTTTGAAAGTTGTCAGTATTGATCTTAGAATATAAATATGGACAAAGAGACTGTTTTCTATCAGTTTATCAAATATCATTTCAAAATCATGATTTACTGTAAATGTAAAATTTTATCTTACCATATCTGCTATAGGTGATTTCTTTTTTAACTGTTTTTCAACTTCTAGTTGCATATGAGCCATTGTGCTGGCCTAGAAATAGACAGTTGTGACAAATGTATTTTTATGAGTATCTATATAGCTCCTGTTCACAGTGACTCACAGTGCTCATATTGCTAATAAGAGTATAATGCCACTCTTTGACATTTTACTTCCATTTCTAAATGAAGCTGAGAACTGCTTATCTGAAACATGAGCATGAGATGAGCTAGTCAAGTAGTCTTCTCTCAAATATTCTTGACTACTTGATCCTCTTTAGTGAGTTAAAGATACAGATGCGCCATATTCGGAGGTTGATTTGGTTCTTAATATATGTAAATAGTCTTCAGAAGTACTAAAAATGTACGAAAAGCGCATAATTCCTTTAAAAATAATTCAAACTAGGAATTTTACTATATATCACAGAGTATATTAAAATGATGCGTCGTTATTTTATCATTCAAACACAGATAATTCTGGACACAAATGGATTTGAAGGCTTAAATTTCGACCCTAAGCTGTGAAAATTTTTACTGATTGGCTTAGCTAAAAAAAATCCAGTTTCTGAGACTAAAGTATGATTGGTCAAACAGATGGCGGATTAATAATAATTATCTGCACCACTAACCTGTGCTAAAGCTATTTTGGCTTCTTCTTTTAATCTGGAAGGATGAGAAGTTTTTTTATTATCATCTTTAGATTTATTTCTATCTCCAGTTCTTTTACTTCGATGACCATTTTTAACCTACAAAATACAATTTCAAATAATTAAATTCAAAATTTGGATAAGAAAACAGACATGTAACTTTTCTAAAAGATAACTTAAATATCTGCAAAAACCCCCAAAAAATTATTTTTGAGATTTTCATCTTAAAGGGCCCATGGAAAGCACTAGTTGCGTATGGCTGCAAATAAGAATAGGGGTGATAAGTTTCATACTCAAAACCTCTTTCATTTATTCACAATCATATGCAACTGGTAATCGAGCGCTATGGTTTAGACAAGTTAAGGGAATACATTCAAATAAATAAAAATCATTTTTTCAAGCGTCACATCGGAAGAGGCCCTTCCCATGAGCATCAAGCAGTGCACTCTACAAGTAGATCCATTATGACAAATCTGTTGGCTACTGTTTTAGCTATTTGGTATGTTTTAAATAATTTGGACAAATTTCAGTGAAACAACTTCTAGATCCTGTTTTTGGCTTGAGTTCATTTTGACTTTTGTTACTTTGAAAAATTTGTGTACTGTACTTTGATATTCCATTTCTAAAAGGCTTATGAATAGGCAACTAATGCATCATTTACAAAAGAGAGAAAGAATTCTAAATTGAGTTGATGCAAAGTTCCATTAGATCCTAACGATAATAAATATCGCAATATAATAATCTCTGGGTAAAACCAATGTAATACTAGTAATGGGTCGTCAATCACAATATAATATGACATTATCAAATGATATCACCATATAAATAATCACCATTGTTATATCACCTATTTCCCTTCAGTATAATGTTACAATACAATAGGAAATATGTTTGAAGGATTTCCAGTCTGACAACTTTTAAGGTAGAATCATTTGTGCTAGAGTTTTTTGTTGGTTTAATCGAAATAATTGTGTTGTGATATGCAGAAATACACAAAACATTGTAAACTATCTTTTACGTGTCTACTGACAGACACAGTTTAGAGGTTCAAATGCTCAATGGCATATGTCATAGCAACAAGGGGCCATAACTCTGTACGGTACCAATATCTAGAACTTTCTAGAATTATCATGGAAAAAATATGTAGTAGTTACTAGTTGTTCAGATGATAAATGAGGCTTAGTGTACTACATTTTGAGCACGATGAAGGTCAAAAAAGATTTGGCTAATGCTGTTCTATAGCACAGTTGGTTAGAGTGTTGATTCTTGACAGTCATGATGTCATTTGCGTGGTAACATCTAGCAAATAATGGCTCAGGGTTCTAATCTACATCATTCCCCATGACCTTGAATACGTCATCTTCACACATAGTTTCAGTCAACCCAGCTGTAAATAAGTATGGATAATCCAGGGAAAGATGAATGCCAAGAAGTTTGGCCAAGGACCAGCTGGTAGAAAAGATCCTATGTGAACCCTAGTTGTTATCCTTATAAAATATAGATATTTCTTTTAATTCTTTAGAAGCAAATATAAAGATGCCTGAAACAGAAACCTATGTCCTTTGTTGCTATATATTTCAATTATATCTAGTTATCTACAGCAGGTTTCAAGTTAAAAGCAAAATTAATGACCTTTCAGCACGACAGCAACAACAATTTTCTCAGTTTAAAATTCATGCTACATACAGCTAATGTAGATGAGAAGTATATTTTTAGTCCCAGATGATCTTTATACATAGATTGAAAACAATGTAATTTTCTCTTAAAAATAAACAATTACAAAAAATATTGCCAGTAATAATATATAAAAAGATAGCTTGTCAGCCAAGGTAATATACGCCCACTGGCAGCTTTGATTTTAAATAAAAATATTTGGCAGTACAGTAACGATCACCAGTATGAAATATTCAACCTTAAGTCTCGCGTTTTCAAAAACAAGGGCAATAACTTCTATTAGACATTTTCTGATTTAAATGATTTTCGATAGGGTTCAAACTTGGGTAATAATGAACAAATTCATCTACATCTGACAAAAGTTTCTTGTTTCCATCAAAGGCCTTTTAGAGAGTTTACATGCTAAAAATGGAATGCGTCCTTAAGAACAAGGGCAATAACTCATATCAAATATTTTTCTATTATTCTGGTTTACAATACACTCTAACTACGTTTCGTCAAAATTCATCAAGGAATGTGTTTGTGCACAAACGGTAGGACATGGGTGACGCCAATAGAAGCTTATGCTTTACATTTCATGTGGGCGTATGAAAAAATTATTCGACATCATCTCATACAAGTAATCCAATTTAGAAATATTCTATGGTTATTCTAGCCTGATTTGATGATAATGTGACATGGCAGAGATTAATACTAATGGTTTTGTATAGTAATAATAGCCCATCCATTTCCTTGACATAACACAACTATATAACTACTATTTCCTATTGTTTTAACACATTAAATTGTAGGGTAGCACCAAGTTACCAAATATATTATCTCATCTCATACATTGTCCATGAAATTTGATACTTTAAAGAGTCATGGTCCAGTAAATATTTGTTTTACCATCCGATAGAGCCCAATGTCATCCATCTATGTCACTTTTCAGAATTAAACTTTGACCTCTGGTTTTTCTACAATTCAACTTAAAATTTCTGCATAAATGATGACATTCATCACGCCTAGGGCTTTTTCCAGACTTACAGACTTTCTGTTCCTGATGGAATGAGCAAAGCCAATCAATGTGCAAATAAGAAAAGTCTGTCAGTACGAAATCTTCTTCGATTTCCAACTATCCAGGCTTTTTTAAAAGTCAGCCCCTAGATCTGCATCATTGGCAGGGGGAAACCACATTAAAAAATCAGACAGTAACCAGGCTTTATGAAATGTTACTTAGTTACATGTTGGTGACCTCTTTGCAATTGTTCAATTTGTGTATTTATTTTAAATATACCGCTGTAAATAGTGAACTCTTCCTCCCCAAACAATGTCATGTAATAAATTAGATGTCAGTATTGATCAATTTAAATCTCATTTATATAATATATCACTAGAGAATAGTCTGTCTGTAATTCTCACTTAGAAATGTTCTCAACTACCATTTATTGCATTATTAATTTTAAAATGAAGTCTATAAACCAACTCTAGTTGACCTTGAGCAGGCTTTCTTCAATATTACTTTGATGCTATGCATGTAATATGAAATCCTATAAGTTTACATTGATAAGAAACACATTTTTCTTCTTGAACTTTCAACTCAAAATGTGACAAATTTTGCTGAAAATGGACCTCTGTAAAACAAATTATGAAGACATAATGTATGCTTATGTTTATATTTTTATCAACTCAAAGACATTTTAAGACAATTTTGAAGATGCTATTCCAATTCTCATAAAAATAATACAGAAATTTTCAACTCTTCTAAACATCACACTGCTCTTTACAAAACAATCTTCTTTATCATTCTAGAACGGAGTCAATTCTCTGGTTTAAGATCTTTCAAGGTCAAATCCCTGATTCAAGGAATTTCAAGGTCAAGTTCCAGGTTTCTCAAACAGATAAGGTCACAGCTTAATTTCAAGATCACATCCACAGTTCTATGACCTGCCAAGGTCAAATCTCTAGTTTCATGAAGTGTCAAGGTCAAATCTCTAGTTTCATGAAGTGTCAAGGTCAAATCTCTAATTTCATGAAGTGTCAAGGTCAAATCTCTAGTTTCATGGACTGTCAAGGTCACAACTTTAGTTTCAAGGACCTTGAGATATATCTTATGGATTTCTATTTTTCGAATATTTTGCATCAAGGTTGTGGGTTAAAAGAGGGGAAAACAAAAAAACAATTCAGAGAGAGTAAACATAGTCCTAGAAATGGTTTTAAATTTAATTAGATAATTCCACAAACTTTGAAAAAAATGGATGTCTTACGTTCTACTTTCTGTTCCTGATTGGGCTTCATAAAGATGTACTATAAGGGAAATTCAAGGACAAATAGCCTATTTTGTTGCTTTATTTTTTAGTGTAGATAGATCTTTTACAGACACAGAGATCGATGATTTTTTGACTAGACAATTCCACATCAGACCCTTAAACCAACATCACTGACAAGAGGGACACCCATATTCAAAAATTTGAAGGTTCCTGAAATCAAACTCTGGTCCAGATTAGCAAGAAAATCATCTCGATGAACCATTACAGCTATGATAATGACCCCATATCCATCCAAGAATATAAAACTTAAAGAGTTGAACTTACATCTGTGTGTTTAACTGGAGGACTGTGACGTTCTGTTGATTCTGGTTTTTGATGTTGTTGCTCTGGTGGTTGTGATGATGATGTGACTTGTAATGAGTCTGGAAGAGTGTTGTTAGCTTCATTCATGGCTTCATTCATAAAACATATTTGTAAGTTCATGCCACTTTGTAAACGAGTTTGAAAACTGGGTTTTTTAAACGCACGTTCATTATAATAATACTCTTCTTCCCCGCTACCCATCGCCAACTTCTGTCGTATCGTTTCTCGATCATTTGGTTGAGTCTGAAAAGAGAAAATATCATGTCTGTTAGCCATTTAAACACTACTCCTGCACCTATAGGTTTATTTAATCAGATATATACGGTAAATGTCAGGAAAGCATTTTTTGCAGCATTTTGTTTTCGTACTTGCAAAAAAAAGTATGAGTTTGTGTCGAGTACTCTGCAGAAACGGTAATAGTTACAGCAAGGTTAGCAATGCATTGGATCTGCATATTCGGTGTTTTAACTAATGAATATAAATTGGAACAATTTTGCAAAACGGATAGTGGCACATTGCAAAATGTGCAAAAAGTAGATAATTGACTCTTGAAGGTGCAATTTTGGAGCGATTTTGCTTGGGTTTTCAGTTTTAGAATTTTGCTCGAATATCCTATGTGATAGCAGTTAAAAAAATTCGAATTTTGAAAATTCATAGCACACATTTTTTAGCCGAAACCACACCTTTTGGTTTTATAGGGGTCTAAATATGGCCAATTTTGCATTTTTGCAGTGCTGTATCTCAATTCCTAATTGTATTAGCATGCTACCACCTTCAGATTATTTATGTACTTATTTAATGGTTTCAAATAATATCACACTTGATGATATCAAAGCCATATTTAAAAAAATGTTGCAATTTTCATAAAACTTTGAACGCTTCTATCTCAAGAGCTGTACCTTGGATGATGTTGATATTTACAGTAATAATTAATACCGACTACAGTTTTTAGATGATGTTAATATTTGTCATGTCCGACACGTGGTTCTGGTTTTATGGGTGTCACTAAAAGTTGAGTTTGCATCTTTAAAGCCTTTTAACAGGTGACTTAATAAAGATACAGCAATATTATATTCGGATTTATAATGCTGAGATCTTGAGCTTTCCAGTGATATATAACACTTATGTTATGATGGATTGAACCATGTTATACTATAATTTGAGCTTACGGAAGGACCTTAAATATATACCCCCACTAATTTCCCAACTTTATTTCTTATCCAAATTTCACCTTACTTTGTATACATGTATGTGTATAATCAAATTCTAAATTTGATGAATATATCGAATTCTTCTTGTGCGCATGCACATTACTAACTTTCTTATTTCTTATCCAAATTTCATCAAACTTGATATGTATGTGTATAATCCAAGTCTAAATTTGACGGAAATATTGAATTCTTCTTGTGCGCATGTACATTACTAACTTTCTTTTTTCTTGTCTGAATTTCATCAAACTTGGTCTTTATTAATTGACAAACATTCTTTTATTCCTAGTCAATATACTTTAAATTCCACGCACTTTCGCATATTTTCATTTAGAGATGCAGAAAGGTATTTACATCAATGTAATTGCAATAGACTATCTTCGTATGTACCTGAATGTTGTAACACGCCCTGCATCAGTACTGTTATTTGAACAGTTCTAGTCTATATTTGTTATAGTACATTTAGTTGTGATGGCCAATTCAAAACTTTAATTTCTAATTTGTTCCCCTTACAAATGATCTCTTTAAATTCAAGATCAGTCAAGAAACAAATGGGCTCTTTTAATTCAAGATCAGTCAGGAAACAAATGATCTCTTTAAATTCAAGAAACATCTAAATTAAGCCTTATTTAAAATCAAGACACATTAAAAATTCAGCCTATATAAAATTCAGACACATTAAAAATTAAGACACATTTAAGCTCAAATGAGCACAGGCATTGAAATATGACTAAGTCATAATCATAACATATGAGCATGGATATAAGCCATGTCTATCCAGGCATATGATTGAAATTTCATCAACAAGTTGATTTAAATGACTCTACAGAACTTGTTAAACTGGCCCTCGAGTATCATTAATTCAGTTAGAATATGAATTCATTCCAGTAGAAGGGATTGGTATGTAAGAGTACTTTGTATTCAATATATTAACATGTTAAACAGAATAAGCTTGATCTGTATTATAATTGTATATATAGCAATTTTTTTTATCAATTAACAGCCGATCCTGAGGACTTTTTTTATTTCACAAATAAAAATGTGTAATTGGACCAATCCCAATAAAAGTAATTCCAAATGCTAGTAATTCTTTTTATATAAATTTGTGGAAGGTATGATATATGTTTGTGTTAAGGTCAAATGAGAATTTAACTCATAGAAAGCACTGGCCTAGGTCAGAAGCAAGGACTATTCATTTACAAGTCTTGGTTAGCTTAGTAATGTTTTGTTAGTTTTAACAATGGTACTGGCACCGACTTGTCCTGTATTATAATAAAGAAAAAACTGCTTTGTATAACTGTTCTTTTACCCACTTAGGGAGGACCTAAAAAGGGGTTGTGTTGTTGGGAAGAGGATTTAGTTTGCTGTTTTAGCATTGTAGTGCTGTATATGTACACTTTAAAAAAAGTCATATTTGTTTTCTTGAATTTTTTTTTAATGTTTTCAAAAATTTCATTTCAATTTGTTAATATTTAATATTCTGCATAAATCTCAATTTCTACCTGATATTAAAGAAAAACATTTGTTTCATTGTTCCATCTACTTTTTCTAAGTTAATATTCCATATAGGCGGGATATTTAATATGTCAACAGGAAATGAAAAACTGTAATATATGAAACAGACTTCATGTATATCATTTGTACTTGCTAGTTGCTGTCTTGGGACCCATTGAAGAAGATTGAAAAAAAATCTCTGAATAGAATTGCAATAAAATTTTCAACCTGCATTAACAGTTAAGTAAATAATGTAAATTTACTGGAAAACCACTCCTGAGTTTTATTGTATACAACATTTTAACATTTAATATAGACCAAAACATCTGTCTCTATTCCAGCCTCTAATAGCTATTTTGAAAGTTGAAACTAGGCCCTGTTTTATGGGGATTTTTCCACACCTTCGAAGGTGTGGGGGGTTTTAAACATATTTATTTAAATCAGAACCCTCAGACCCAGATATATTCAGTAAGACGGATATTTTTGTAGTTCATTCATACCATTATTTTCCCTCTAAACCTTGTATGTCACGTCTGTGGTTCAAAGGTCACATGATACTAACAAAGCAAAAGTTAGATGATACCCAACACTAATTTACAGTCATTGTAAAGCAGGTAATTTATTATTTTATTAGAAAAAACATCTTTGGAGGTGTGACAAATTCCCATAAAACAGGGCATAGTTTTCTGACTCTACTCCAGCCAATAACTGTCAAATTTATCTTAAAGAGGCTGGAATAAAGGCAAATGTTTCGGACTATATTTACACTGTCATCAGATGAAATGAGGAAGTATAATACAAGTATATACCATGACATTTTCTACTCTTTATGTCTCTTTAAGATGGAAATGAAGTAGAATCCCTCTTGAAAATTGCAATAGAATTTCCAAGAACGGAATTTTCATGGCCTCTCCAAATCGCAAAGATTTTTAGGGACTCTTGAAATTGCAAAGGAAATTTCATGGACTCTTGAAAATCACAACAGAATTTTCAGAGATGTCAGTTAGATGAAACTTTCCAATCATTTTTTTCCTCCATTAAACATTGAAAGCTTTTAACCTGATGTAAGTTTAAGTAGTTTGATGCCGGAATGCACTTCCTACACGAGAAGAACTTTATTGTTTGTGCGGAGTTATTGAAGAATCAAATTCTATCCTCTTCAAATACTTCAGAATTCTTTAAAATTCCATTGCAATGTTCAACAAATCGGTTAATTATTTTGTAAGTAATGTATTTTTTTTTATGTGCCAATAAAATTATCGATTTACATGTTCGACAAATTGGAATATGGTGAAAATTATGTGAGGTGGAAGATTTGTCTATTTAGTAATGACGGACTAGCAATATCAAAGTTATTTTTTTTAAATTGTAAGGCAAGACGCAGTTATTTTCTTGTTTTATCGATTTTTTTCTTTCAAAATCTGTCAAGGCAGAAAGAAAAGAAAGAAGACCAAAATTGTTTGAAGAAAAAAAACACAGAATCGAATTGGATTTTCCCACTTTCTCAGTACAAAAAATATAAATTTTATTAATACTCGTGGCTTCTGATGCCTTTTTTTTATCAACAGGAATGAAAGTTGTTTTTTTTTTGCAATTGGAGCTGATTTTGTCTTTTATTTTCATATTTCTGGAAAATTCAGGTAGGATTTCAAGCTTTCATTGAAGATGGGTTCGCTTTACTTTCATTTATGAAAATGAAAATGCTAATACTTATATGAATAGACAGTAGAGGTGTTTTAATGACTTGGAAAAATACCAGTTTGTCTCACATGTCCATAATTAATTCATAATAAGCTACATTAGAAAGCAGAATATCAATGAGTGATCTATCAAGAAAGGTCAAAAAGTATTTTTTTGTTTATCCAGACTGTACAAACATGGACATTTATGATTGGTTAAAACTCTTAATTATATGCAATAAGAACATAATGATATGATTAAGAATACATGATAGTTCATTAGAAACAACATATAATCAAATAATTTGCTTAATTTGATAATTAAAAAATAAGGAAATCCATCTTTAAAAGTCAAGATAAACAGAGATACTTGATGTCTAAAGGCTTGCCTAATAACAATTTAGAACCCATTCCGATTCTTTTCTCACAGTTACAGTACAAATGTTCCCTTTATGCCTTAGTGCAAAATAGTAGGAGAAATCTATCTAGAGTTATTACCCTTGACAACATGTCAGCTCTATTTCTATTTCCATTTCTCTTCAAGTCATTTCTTAAACATTCACACTTCAGAGAAACAATTCAATTCCAGGAAAATGTCAGAAAAACTCCCACAAGCTTGAGAAACTGTCTAATGATTTGAAATTAGAAAATGAAACTGTCAAAAGTTTTACATCTGTAACAATTGCAGAAGTCTACAAGTGTTTAATGTAACACATTGAATAGCAATTTAACTCTTAATGATGTTTGAAAACATGGCAGCTATTCCAGAGTAGACTCTACTCTCTAATATTCCATTTGATGCTAGAAGATGCAAAGTGAAGTCATTAAGAACTTTGTCTTATACCTTGACTACAATAGCCTT